GGAAGCTCTGTAGAGAGAGATGTATAGCTTGTTCTGAACAGCGATATAGAGTAGATGGTGTCACGCCCGATGGATGGAAGAGTCGGTGGTGTCGATGGTCGGGCCGATGGGAACGCCTGCAGTGATGAGGCGGTCACGGTCTCGCCAGATTATAATCTTGTGAGTAGGCTCAAAATTGACGATGGGGACGATGTGCGGAATTTCGTGGGTGCTGTGCCGTTGTCGTCTGATCTGAATCTAGCTAGAGTAGCTCCGTCTTTGAGCGTCGTCGCCCCGGAAAAGGAGTCGGTTGAGGACTGCGATTTCAGCGACGTAGTTCTCAAGTACATCAGTGAGATTCTTATGGAAGAAGATGTGGAAGAGAAGACTTGCATGTTCCAAGAGTCCGTGGCCCTACAGGCTGCCGAGAAGTCCTTCTACGAGGTCATCGGTGAAAAGTATCCACCTTCACTGAATAGCCACCCGATATCTCGTACTGATGTGAATCATGATAGTCCTGCCAATCTTTCTGCCATCAATTCTGGCAACCAACGCAATTCGCATGGTTACGACTTGGTAAAGCCGGGATGGAGCTGTGACTTGGGTGAGCCCGGGGTCTCTGTTACTTCTTCCGTTTCGAGTTCCTATACTTCAGTTAGCTCCCCATATAGTAGCACTAGTTCTATCACGGATGGGTTTGCCGATTCTCCTGTGAGTATCCTTTGGTTGCCGGAAGTTTTAAGTGAAAAAGAATCGGCGTTTCATTTCAAGAAAGGCGTTGAGGAGGCTAGTAAGTTTCTTCCAGACAACAGTTCTCTGTTTACCGATTTGGACAAAAATAACTTGTCTTTTAAGATACCAGAGAAGGATGCCATCAGTACCGTCCCAAAGGTGGAGAAGACTATGGGGAACGAACACTTGAATAAATCTAGGGGAAAGAAGAATCCTCACTCTGAGGATGTATGGTTGGAGGAATCAAGAAGTCACAAGCAGTCATCACTTTCTACTGAATCAACTGTGAGTTCAGACATGTTTGATGTGGTATTGCTTAGCTGTGGAAAAGATGATCCACTCCGTGAAGAGTTGCAAAGCGTGCAGCGGAACAGACAAACAAAAGGGTCGAACGGGAAAAAGGGCCGAGTTAAGAAGCAGGGACGGAAAAAAGACGTGGTTGATCTGAGAACGCTGCTGACTCTCTGTGCGCAGTCTGTCGCAGTAGATGACAGGAGAAGTGCAAATGAGATGCTCAAACAGATAAGACATCACTCATCTCCTACTGGTGATGGAATGCAAAGGATGGCGCACTACTTTGCTAATGGTCTCGAGGCACGCTTAGCCGGTTCCGGAACTCGGATTTACACTGGCCTCATATCTAAACCGACATCAGCTGCCTGTGTCTTGAAAGCTTATCACCTATACCTTGCTGCATGTCCATTTAGAAAGATCTCAAACTTCTTCTCAAACAAGACGATAATGAATGTAGCTGAAAATGCAACCAGGCTGCACATTATTGATTTTGGCATCCTCTACGGTTTCCAATGGCCTTGTCTCATAAAACGTCTCTCATCACGACCTGGTGGACCTCCTAAAATTCGAATAACTGGGATCGATCTTCCGCAGCCGGGATTCAAGCCAGCTGAAAGGGTGGAGGAAACAGGGCGCCGCCTGAAGAACTATGCGAAGACTTTCGGCGTGTCATTTGAATTCAATGCTATAGCACAGAGGTGGGACACTATCCAACTGGAGGATCTTAGGATTGATAAGGATGAGGTTCTCGTGGTGAACTGTTTGTACAGATTAAGGAACCTACTCGATGAGACGGTGGTGACTGAGAGTCCAAGGGATATTGTTGTGAATCTAATGAGGAAGATGAATCCAGCAGTCTTTATTTTTGGAGTTTTAAATGGGGCCTTTAGTGCCCCATTCTTTATCTCCCGGTTTCGAGAGGCTCTTTTTCACTACTCTACTATCTTTGATATGCTTGAGACAAATGTTCCCCGTGACATTCCAGAGAGGATGCTGCTTGAGAAAGAGATATTTGGATGGGAAGCCATGAATGTCATTGCATGTGAAGGCTCGGAGAGGATTGAAAGGCCAGAGACCTACAAACAGTGGCCGGTGCGGATCATGAGGGCAGGGTTTATGCCGCTTGCGTTGAATGAGGAGATCACGGAGACGGCAAAGGACAGAGTGAAATCTTACTACCATAAGGACTTTGTCGTTGATGGAGATGGTCAGTGGCTTCTGCTAGGATGGAAGGGCCGAATTGTTCATGCACTCTCAACTTGGGGACTTTCCACCAAAACATATTCACCCAAGGCATGAAGATGATAGAACAAGAAGTTTTTCTCATGGTGAGTCTGGTTTTGATCCTATATAATTTGGGATATCTAATTATCTAAGTTATTACCTGTAGTTATCATCCGAATTCTGTCATACCGAATTTGTGCATGTGCTCAGTTCTGTTCTTCTGAATCAGGTGGGCAGAGACATGTGCAGACAGCGCTAGGCAACGTGGCGAGTTGCCAATCCTCAAGACTCCTAAAGAACAGAAATAGGTGAATAGTGGACTGTACTGCTTATATGTTCTTCATTAGGAGGGATCCTCATAGGATTCTGTATATACGCTGGAAGATATCTGGGCAGCACTTGCATTGGCAGATTTATGGCTGCGATTTTTAGATAGTTCTCTTTTTGTTATATTTTGATTCCAATAAGTTCTGAAGATTTTCTAATTTTTACAAATGCAGACCATTCATAGAATGATTAGATGAGCATTCTTTGATTAAATATCCGTTCTTTCTTTTCAGCGTCGGCGTTTGGCCTGCTTTGTTCATTGCTCATATTCTCGAGCTTGACTTGATAAGGTTGATGATGTTTGTGAGATCCATATTTGCTAAAATGGGCGGCAATGATCCGAAGTCCGAATTAGGCTTAATAGAAGTGGTTCGTTTTCTTTCTATACGCAATTCAAGTTTTCATTTGTGTTCATGTTGGCGATTTCTATATCTGAATGCGGGAAACGCAATGTATACGCCTTTACCTTGATCTATGTATGGTTAGAAAGGGGACATTGATTGATTAAAATGCCGACTCGTCCCTCATCCCTTTTTTCTCTCCTCAATAAAGAAGCCATTAAGTAATTATCTCGTTATCGCATGACGTTTATGTGAGCATTGTGCGTGTGAAATATTGGATTTGGTGGGACCCATATGATCAGCGGCTCGCATTATTGGGGTGCCGATTCCAATAAATGGAGTGACAGATGCGTATGTGCAAGAGTTTAGTTAATGTTTGAGGTTATTAAATGTACACCTACATACTATATGCACATAAATATGTGGTACTTAGTTAAACATTAGGTTGGGTTGGGGACAAGTTGCAGTCACCTCCTTGCCAGAGAGGCAAAGCAGCTCAGTATGCCTAATGTATACACAGACATGGTCATGGAACTGTGCTCCTGAAGTATACGTATGATCACACTACAATCTCTATTGCATTGTCACATAGACAGCGTCGTCTTCAACTTTCTCAATACAAATCTCGATGAAAATTGGGCGTCGCTCGTCATTCTAACGACGGAGATCATTCATCTCTGAGAAGTCATTTTCTGCTAACTGGGTTGGTCACACTCGTGCTCACGCACTTCAACTTAGCACTGGGAAATACAGAAATCTAGTAGCTTTATTATAATGCGTGCATCATGTGCGGAGATGTGATCTTGCGGTTAGAGCTCGAGCTACCCTTTTTGACTTTCTCTTTTGGAGATTGATTGTGAGGGAAGCAAATTGATGCGACACTGAGTGATCTCCAATGAGAAGAGAAGGTCAACGTCCCAGCGAATAAAGAAAGTTCCTGAAATGTCGCGTGGATACATCAAGAAAGCTCTGTATGCACTCGTTAGGTAAGGCCCCTATCCACATTTCGTCTTATCAGATGACAAAAAGCTTGAAAAGCGACACCAAGAATCGAATTCCCAAGTTTGACTTTGCATCTCATCGAGGGGTCTATTTTCTATAGACATATGGTATCGGTTTCTCGGCAATTGCTATGCAATGCTGCTGTCCGAAAGGATCTTGTGATGCTGGAACAGTGAACAATCACCTAACGTCACGAAGACGACAGTTAAACAAATGACAGAAGATAATTGAACACTAAGCTCTTCGTGTGTTAAGCGGTAATGACTACAAACTAATGCACCTTGCACGCGGCATTAGCTGTCTATGTGATGAGTAGAGTTTAGAGAGGCTTCTTTTAACTGATGTGACTCGAAATAACGTGATCCGAATGCAACCTGGGGCAAATGACGGTGATGGTGGCTCCAGACCGTGAATATTTGAAAAATGACACAAACAGTCCATGAACTTTGACTCAATGTGTAATTTGGTCCCCGAACTTTTAATTTGTTCAATGTAGTCCTTGAACTTTAACCCAATGTTCAATGTGGTTCATGAACTTTCATTTTGTTCAGCGTGGTTCCTGAATTTTTGGTACATGTTTAGTATAGTCCTTGAACTTTATAAAAATGTTTAATGTAGTCCTTCCATTAATTCAAGTTCAAGGACTATATCGTACATTTTCATATAGTTTAGGAACTAAACTGAACATGTATAACAAGTTCAGGGACCACATTGAACAAATTAAAATTTTAGGGACCACATTAAACATTGGGTTAAAGTTCAGGGACTGCATTGAACAAATTAAAAGTTCATGAACCAAATTACACATTAAGCTAAATTTCAGGAACTGTTTGTGTCATTATCCCTTTTTTAGTTGGTAACCAAATCGTAATCTCGTTGACCGCTACGATAATCAAAATTGAGGATGGAGCAAAGCCCGAGGAAAAAGCCCGGCCCGGCTTCGAAAGATCCATACATGACAGATAAATCTAATGGGCGACCCGAATTGGACCCAACATAAGGAACCGGTCCGACCCGGGCCCGACCATTGATTGCGAACCAGCCGGGCCATCTCGGGCCGCTCTGGCCCGACCCGTAATTACAATAGCCGCTCCGGGCCACGGAGGAGGAGGGCGGTGTGTGTGGCTCGTCGGGGCGGCGCGACTGCTTGAGGCGACGCCGACTCCTGCATCGGCTCGCGTAGGCTTTCCTCGCCCCCCCACCCTGGCCGGCCGGAGACTGACCGGAGGTTGAGGGAAGCCGACAATGAGCGGCGCCGGAGCCCCGGACTTCTTCTACAGAGAAGCTCAGCGCCTCGGCTATGTCGCTCGCTCTGCCTTCAAGGTCCCTCCTCTGTTCTGGCCCCTCGCTTGCTCTGACTTTGAATATCGGATTTTCTGCTTCGAAACCGTGTGAAACTTCTTACCCTTTTTCCCTACGGTTTCGTGCGCCGAACAGCTGCTTCAGATGCAGAATAAGTACAAGCTGATAACCGCTGGGTCCTCTGTTCTCGACCTCGGCTGCGCTCCCGGCGCTTGGCTTCAGGTCCTCTCTACTCAGCGACCGTTCGACGTGTTTCTTGAAATCTCTCCATGCATCTTTCGTTTATCATCCAATCTAACTGACGCGTTCGTGTCTAGGTTGCTTGCCAGAACTTGGGTCCTCTGAAAAATGGTGGGTCTGTCGTCGGCATTGATCTCAAGGTTTGTGGCTCTCTCCCTGTGCGTGTTGTGTGTGTGGCACTGTTAGGTTCTGATCAAATGGAGTGGAGTGGACTCAGTGGAGAGTGTTCATCTCTGAATTATGTTTTCTGTTGTTTGGAAGAGTGTTTTTTCTGGGTGTATGATGGGAGAATTGGGGGTATGCAGAACAGAAGGTCAAGGTTCCTACAATGCACTGTGATGCTAGAGTTCAGACAGTTTGTGCCGATGTGAGGAACTTCCCGAAGCACCAAATTAAGGCCCTTTCTCCTCAGGTAGCTGCTTATTGCAAAGTACTCACTCGGACTTGAAACGAAAATATGGATGTTTACTTTTGTGAATGGGGATGTACGTGAGTTCTAAATGTTTTGTAAATCACTGTATAGATCGTTACTTTCTGCTTCCTCCTGAACCAAGGTTAAGTCTTTTGTCACCGGAAAATCTTACAATGTCATGGATACCTAGGTTAAGCATGTACAGACACGATTTATTATATTCGTCACCAGATATCCTCCGAAAAATTGGAAGCAAGATTCTCGTTTGTTTTGTCTTAATGCCAACGAACTTCACCTGGGGTGTCTAAATCCTGGGTCATGGAATACTTTATTAACCTGATGAACTAGATAAGAGACTGCCTGAAGCCTGAGTGAGTACTCTCGACACGAGATTGGTTGAACTTGTATTGAAATGCGCCTAAGCCACGAGTCCATATCTCAAAGGACTAAGTCCATCCTGTGGGTTGAAGCAAGATTCATTATATATTCTTCAACAATTTGAGATAGGGCTAGCTATGTTAACATCAAATGGCACCAATGGGAAACTATTCCGGCCTTGCTTGTTTTTATTATGCTTACTGCCTTAAAGCCTCACAATTTTCTAATTAGGAATTAGAACTAGTCAAGGTAGGACATCCAAAATACACTCTGCAGCGCGTGAATATGCAAAAGTACTCATCTTGCTTTACACATCATTCCTTGGGAAGTTTGATCCTACTTACAACAGTTTCTTATTCCGTGTCAACATGCTGCGTTTGCATCAGGTAGCTAACCTCCCTCAACTAGGAGGCTCTTTTGCATAGGGTCTGATGCTAGTCAGTCTTACCATATCATTCATAGAGTAGACAGCTATTTTTTCCAGTATTCTGTACTCTGTATGTAGCACTGGATTAAATGCAGTGTTGCTTCTGAATTTATGAGCATATGTGATTTGCCTGCCTCTTCTCAGCAAAGGGGATTTTCCGTCGTACTCTCCGATATGTGTCCCTTAGTTTCTGGGATCACAACTACGGATGCGGCTTTATCCGCTGAATTAGGGATGCGAGCACTTGAGGTAGCTGTTGGCAGGTCTGCCTTAGGTCATATGAGTGGCGATATCCAAATGGATGGACAGTCAAAGCCCTCTGCTTGTGCTCCTGACGACGAGGGTGTGTTGCGACCAGGAGGACACCTAGTCATTAAGCTTCTGGAAAGTGAGGATACACAAGGTAGACTTGCATTTCAATAGGAGAGATTTTCAGTCATGAGTCATATTGTGGCTTCTCGAATGTGTGTTGCTAGGAGAGATTTTGAGTCATGTACTAACCTTCTTTCTTATCGAATTTACAGAATTCCGCCGGATTTGTAGCCCTCTTTTCAGAAAGACATCATGGTTGAGGCCCAAAGCTACGAGGTCTTCATCAAGAGAGATCTATTTTATCTGTCAAAGTTTGCTCTCCTGAAAACACCTTTGCTTCACTTGTTTGAGAATTTTCCTGGAGGTTGAGCTTTCTTGAGCAACGGTGGCTGGCTGGCGTGTTGTATTATCTGGCTTGTATTCTTTTCCGCCATCCACTGCACGATCCTAATCATCGGCGGACTTTCTTTTCTCTAACTTACACAAGGGCTGTCCTTTATTGTAATAATGGTAGTTCACAGGATGGAAGTTGTCAATCCTAGCCTTCAATGGCACATTCACTACGCGGATTAATTTTTTGTGGTTACATAATTCCAATCCACTGTTTTTACTTTTTCCTTTCCAGAAAGTTTGCATGAAGTTTTCACAGCAGCTGGAAGCTCCTTGACCATAGCATATCTATTTTTTCCGATGGAAGAAATGTTTCAGCATATGCTTGTTTTAGACGGTGACAGGGAATTTAAGGAACTCTCTAGGGCGTCACATAATTTACACATCATGAGACCATAAACTAATTGAGATCATTTACAAATCTTATTATACCACACATATTAATCTTGTACAAAAGTTTCTTCTCTGCTACTCACAATTTACAAAATGTGTAATTTCAGTTTACAGTGCAAGATCTTTTTACATCGTAATGTAATCAAATATGTTTCTTTTCAAGAGAGACCGAGCTAGCATGAACAAGCATGCAGCTCTATCTGATATGGGTTCGCCCCAAAGACCAGAGACCTGTATCCTTGACCGGTGCCTGCGACACGCAAGATAGGAAAATTCATGAGGAACCAACCAAGAAGAGCAAGCTTAATCAGAGCAGAATGGCATCGTCACAGGTTACTCACCGGCGTCTTAGCCGATGGAAATACATTCCAAAACCGCAAGGTCTCATCACCAGCTCCTGTCACTATTGTCTGCAAGCAACAACAGAATTATGACTGATGGTTTTGGCAAATGCACGACAACACTATTACCCCTTCCATCGGAAGAACAGTTACGTTACCTGGCCATCTGGAGACATGGCAAGATATAGAACCCGAAGACTATGGCCAGTTAGAGTGGCAACCTGTTAATATAAGAAATGACCAATTTAAGCTTATGCCGTTCCTCGATGAAGTCTAGCCTTCGAAAGCTGTGATAATGAAACGATGGAGACTCTTAACACTCGCTCAAAGGCTTTCTTACCTTCGCCATGGATGGATACTTCCACACCATTATTTGATTCTGTGAATACCCATGAGTGCTCACCAGCTCATTGACATTCTTACTCCAAGCCAGATTACATACCTGCCAGCAAATATGTGAGGATATTTTCTTAATGATTGCTCTTCTTTTATTCGCATTACCACTGCTGAGTTCGGTCCCATACGTGTGAAGGAATTGCAATGCCATATGTGCACTCGAGAACTATAAAAACCATATGGAGTAATTGGATCTCACACACTCCTAGGCTTCATGTAGTAATGCACTAAATATTAGTAGTAAATAGGTTCAATACCTGACTCCCAGTGTCGACACTGCTCGACTGATGGCCATTGGTGGTGTTCCAGAAGCGTATGCATCGATCAGCGGTTCCTCCTCCTGATGCAAGTAGCCCATTCTGATGGGGAGACCATGCTATGGCTTTCACTGCTGCAGTATGCTCAGTAAGCTTCAGAACTGGTTGCTGAGAGTGCTGATTCCATACCAGTAGCTGATCAACCAATAATAAGCTTGTTTAATATTTCATGCTCAGTTTAATATGGAAGATAAAACGACTTACCAGAAAACAAGAATTACCTGATTGTCGTTCCCACCTGATGCGAGTTCTCTGTCATCATGGGACCATTTCAATCCACATACCTGAGTAATTCAAACAAAAGGGATGATCGAGGTTGCTCAGGATTAAAATTAGCCCTCCATACCAAAACTTATAAGACTGCAAAAAAATTTCTTGCTAAGTTCTACCTCAGATTTGTGGCCGACAAGCTTGCCTACGAAGTCATTTGGAATGCGAAGATCATGCTGAAGTATGACCCGGTCTCTGCTACCAGAAGCTAATGTGCGCGAGTTCCATGCCAAGACCCCTGTTCTGGTCTGATGACCACCCATTGTCCGTACTCTCTTGCACTGAGCTCCATCCCATATCTGTCGTACAAAATCAGTCGGTAATCTTTCAAATCTTATGAGCCCTATGATGTGCCAATGCGTGTGGATTAACGTTCTATTACCTGAACTTGACCGAGGCTGGTGCCAATTGAAATGTATGAACCCTCTCGAGTCCACTGTACTGCACAGACACCATCATTAGGTCCCAGATCACACAGCTTTGTCACCTGAAAACAAGATGATAGCACTGTAAGAGCACAACCAATTTCACATTGGGCTTTGCTGATTTTACAGGAAACTCTCAGCAAGACATTGAGAATCAAAATCTGGCAGAGATCAGTTAAGACTAGAAATGCAACTTACTTTGCTGTTTGATGCACTCCATAGGTAAACACAAGTGCCCAATCCGACCGCAAGCACATTCTGAGATGACCAGTCAACCAGATTCAAATAGAAGTCATCTTGCAGCGATGGGGCATCCAGAACCTGCATAAGTAAACAATTATTTGTCTTCTCCCATTCTTTGGTGCTTAATACCTACTACGGCCATCAATTAAGCTCACTACATCTGATCTAATTTCTTCCTACCAGCTGCGGGATTTATTTTCGGATCATTTCTAGCTATTTTGCACTCAATGGTTGGGCGGTTTACAAAATGAGCTAGCTATAACCCTTCCCTTGGTTCCCACTCCTTTGGGCCATTTTAGTCAGCATTCCAATCAAGCTGGAACTATGACCGAAAAAAAAAAATGAGGCTGGAACAATGAGAGTTGTACAAGATTGCCAATTTTGCTATATTATTCCAATAGCTAAACTATTTTACTGCTGACTAAATAACAGTTGCTTATGAGAAAAGCCTGCTATGATCCATCAATTTTCTTCACCAATTTCAGCAATACTGAATATCATTCTTGGTCAATGGACACAGCTGTATCCTCATCCTCAACTTTGACATGATCTTCCATTGAAAAAATGATTAAAAGTGTTAATATGTCCAATCCAAAAGCTTGAGTTTATAGATGGCATATAAACTCCGAGAAACAAGCTTCCTTTCACATGCAAGCCGGATTATAAACTACACTTGGAATTTAATGAACGGAGACTGCGCAGAACTCTGATACAATATAAGAAAATCTAATCCAAAAACTTAAGCTTATAGAAGAGGGAGATATAAAGAGCATATAAGCTCGTGGGCAAGCCATAGGATAATTTAACAAAAAGAGTCAAGATTACTCTCAACAACAACACATGAAAGCAGCAGAATTGCCTCACCTTATGCGGCGTCTTGGGCACCTTCCTCGGTGGCTTAGGAGGCGTCGAAGCTTCGCTGGAGAAACCGCTGTCCTGCCTCAGGATCGACGGGGAATACGGCGAGTTCGGGCCCGAACTCTCGGTCTTGAACCGCAACATATTCTTGCTGGGGCTCATGGGCGACCCTTGACCTGCAGGAGAGAGAGAACCAAAATCAGACCCAAAAAGCTCAGCCTTTAACAACCTCGAGTACGCCTCGTTCCCTCCTTCCTTAACCGGCGACCCTTTCTCGACGAGCCCGAAAGTGTGGAGCCTAGAAGAAGATCTGCAAGGGATGAATCTGTCGCTGATGGAAGAGGACTTGGACGGGGACGTCAGGTTGGAGATGGCCCGGAAAGATGAACCCGAGAACGCATCGAGCCGGAGCGAGGTCTCGGACATCCCGGACGGGAGATTGATGCCGCTCTTCCTCCGCTGAGCTGAATCCATCTTCTGGGTCTTGCTGATCTCAATCTCTCCGTATCTGGGTGTGTTCTTGGATTTCCGAACTCGCGCAAGACAGAACAGAAAAGCCCCTCTTCTTGGCTCGAAGAGAGAGAGAGAGAGAGAGAGGGGAGCTTTTCTTGCGTCGCTGCGTGAAGAGGGAGATCTGCAACGGTCGATGGACGGCGTGGTTGGGGTCTACAGGAGCGGGGGTTCGATTGAATTCTTGGTGAAAAGAAAGAGAGAGATTCGTAGTGTTTAAGGTTTTATATGGAGAGAGACATGAACATCGTAACGGTCGAATTCGCATGTACAGTGATCGGAGCTCGATTCTAGCTGTAATAAAATCAATCTGCTGCTTTTTGGCTTGCCAAACTGGCGACTAGCCGTTGCTCTTTTGGTGCCGGCTGCGCTCGTTAATTACTGAAGTGCCACCACCGTCTTCCATCCAGCCTCCTTGTTCCTTAATTTCTTGGCTTACTACGTGTTGATCACCGCTTGACCAATCAAGTTATGGTAATTACGTTGCCTATTGAAGCAGAATTGCACTTATAGGGGCGTAAGAATTGACGATAATTAGGGAACACTGAAAATGTGTAATGATCGGTAACGATCGGCATATGAGTCGTTGTCATCTAGTGTGATATGATCCTTACTAGGCGTGTTTCTTTCTTTTTCTTTTTAATAGTGCTATCCCGATTAACATTATTGATTTTCTCGCAGTGCATTTGCCAGCATTAACAATCTCCTAACAGGTGATTGTCTAAATTCTTACGAAGTTTGTCCATAAAAGTAAGTGGGAAGCATCGTATCCCTGATATTAAAAGTTTTTATATGTTAAATCATCTACAAAGTTACCAATTTTCGGACTTATAGTTGATTCATTCTATCAAGTCAACGCGATATTGAATTGGTTCATTGTCTAAAATCGTTACCGATGAAAATCCTAGATGGACATTTATATTATTTCTCGGATGTGTGATTTGATTTAGGTAGTGTCTTCATTAAGTTTAATCTTCCCTTATGGGTATCATGGTGCTGATTGTCTTTTGTGGTTAAGAGCAGATTATAATAAAAAATAAGACTACATTTGGTCGTCTGGATTTAAATTGGAATAGGATAGAATAAAGGGAAATAATCCTCCACATATCCCCATATTGTAAAAAAGAATTATCATACGTTTGATGCAACTTAAAATAAGATTTGGAATCTTTGAAAATCCTTCTCATTTGAAAATTTTTAAAAATCTTTGAAAAATTCCATCTCTAACTTTGCTCCTCCTGTACACGAGACTCAAAACCCTCTTGGCCACGACTCTGGGAAGTCGACCTCGGAGCATGACGTCTCTTAACCGATACGAGTTCACGTAATTTTGGGACGGACTCATGAATAGCGGGAGGCACTTCCTTTGGGTCGTACGGCTGAACTCCATTGCCGAAGAAAGCGGCTAAGAGAGGCAACAGCGGAGAAGGTGTGCGTCGTGGGATGGGCTCGTTAGTGGAGGTTCTGCACCATGGTACCGTTGCAGCGTTCTTGATGCACAGCAAGTGGAAGTCGACGCTCGAGAGCGTGGCCGCCAAGAAAGCTGATGGTGTGCTGGTCGTTCTTCATTGGCCAGTAAGTGAATAGCCAGCTCATAAAGGATAAAAGGATTTATGGGGTTTCCTCATGTGGGCCCATTAAGGGCCCGCCAAGTTCCCCACAAATGAACTCCAAAGTTCAAGAATACACCTGGCCCACTGAAACAAAGGGGGTTAAAAAGATTAATGAATATAACAAAGGGGCCCATAGTCTTCTTTCTATGGGCCTTGTAGACTTGACTACCTTTTGGGCCTAATACTATTGCCTTGTCCAGGCTTTCATCTTCTATTGATGACCGGGTCGGGTCTTGACTTGGCCCACGGTTGTGGACAAGTGGTATCGAAGTACAAAATCACAATGTTACTTCTACAGTTGTAGAAAATTGTGAGAGCTCTAATTTGTTAGCGTGGGGTTATATTTTTCCTCTATACGTCTCTAATTGATTGGTTATAAGTTATAAGCATCACGTACACGAAAGTTTAACTAAGCATAGATGTGGATTTTCTCCGTACTTGTAACGTATCAATTTCAATATTGGTTGGAGGAAAGCATGTCCTGAAAATATACGAGAGTTTATAGCACGTTACCATGAGAAAGTTATAATCCAATCAACAAAAGTTCAAAAAAAAAAAAAATTTTCTACATGACAGAACGGATCTGATAATAACAACGCAATAGCGAAATTATATGAATTCTTAAAGTGCGATACGACGTCACGACACAGCATGCGGATTGTCAATATTCGCGCGGAACGAACATAAATAAATCAAAGTTGAAGTGACACCACTATCGTGCCTAATCACAACTTCTCGTGGGTATCTAGAAATTGCACCTCTAATTCCTGCCCGACTAATCGGGCCGATTGGATTGAAAGCATGAATTTCATTTTTTTGTGCTTTTGATGGAAAACACAGTTTGGCCGCAACGGCAAAAAGAAAGGTTGACTTTTCGGACCACCGTGCAAAAATATCGTCCCACGAAGTTGAAACGGACGACATTGACCGATGAATCAATTGTGTCCCAAAATGATGTCTTTTCCGACGCGTAATGCACGGTTGAGCTTAATTAATGGGAGTGCTTATGATATAAACGAACGATGGAGACTAATATCCGAAAGATGCAATGTCTGCTCCTCTTATTTTCTAAGGTTTTTTTTTTTTGTAACCGAGGATCCGTCACCATTCCCCGGGGACGAGCCCGCACAGGTAATCGGAGCGCCTATACCTCGGGGGAGACTAACCCAGCAACCCACCGCCAGGGCCCCCCACTTAAATTACGGAACCGAGCGGGGATTCGATCCCAGAACCTCTCTGAGGGAAGGAAAGCGCCCACCAACTTGGCCATGCGCAGGTGGGTCTCTTATTTTCTAAGGTTAATGACATGAAAAACCCCAAACTTGTATATTTGTGACAAATTTACCCTCGGTTAGTTTTCGTTAAATTTTATGGTCAAATTACCGAGTTTGATGACACGTGACAATTAACGGGTGTACCAGTTTAGGGTTTTACCCCTCTGTTTGTCACAAATGTACCAATTTGTGATTTTTCGTGGTGTTAATCCAATTTAATGGAGAGTAAATTTATCACAAGTATACCAGTTTTGGGTTTTTTATGATCAAAAAATTAATTTTAGGTAAATTTATCACAGGTGTACCTGTTTAAGATTTTTCGTAGTCAAAAAATTGGTTTGTAGTAAATTTGTAACAAGGGTACCAATTTAGGGTTTTCCGTGGTCAAAAAAAAGTTTTTGGTAAATTTGTCACGGGTGTATTATATTTCGTGGTAAAAAAATTAGTTTTAAGTAAATTTGTCACAGATGTACCAGTTTGGGGTTTTTCGTGGTATTAACCTTGTTTTCTATATTTCTCGAGCCGGGAGATATGTGAACCGAGATCCGAATGCGTATTAGATACAAATTGTTCAATGGGAACAAGAATATTGAGTTTGATGACGGCTTTGAATTTTTTTGCTAGAAAGTAAATGACAAGAGGCGGGTCATCTCCATCCGCTGCCGTGTATTGAACTATAAAGATCATAATCGCAATTAATAGGTTCGCGATTGGAGTATTATAATCCGATTCGATTTAAAAACGTATGTCATGCATCAATCAGATGAATCTGTAAAGTTCCGGGTCACAAACGGATTTATCGATCCACCGTCAAATCTACCGATTCTATAGGAGCTTTTCAGTTCGTTGGATTCATGATTTATGACGTCTTACCTAACAAATAATTTGATTTTTATAGTATTTTATGATGTGTGTACATACCAAAATTTTTCAAAGTAATAGACCAAATTCATCATTTACAATCCAATTTTAAACGAAGAGGCACGTAAGCTTCTTGTCTTTGTATCTGAGTGGGATACGTGTACAGAAATATAATGTATTGTACTGTCTTATACATGAAAATCATCACATATAATTAACAATAATTTTTATGTTTGATCATGGATCTTACTGAAATTTTCTTATTTTGTAATACACTCTACATTAGTGTTTTGGCACATGCTGGGTGATTATCTCAACGAAGAAACTAAGCGTGATTGTCTAGCGAAGTGGAGAAACGTAGGTATTTTATTCAATTACTTAACATGAAGTAATTTGGAAAAAGTCCAAAAAGTGAGACCAATTTACTTCACATTGCCAATTACATTTAAATATGTAGGATGGAGGGAAAAGATAATTCTAGGAATTTTACTCGATCTTATGATTTGACTTACGATCCATAAGTATGAAATTTCAATTTACGATTCACGCCTATGATCATAATATCTAATGTACATCTTGAAAGTTTGGATCGAACGAACTAAAATCGGTCTTGCTGAGAAAATAACCTACGGTTTTAAAAAGGGAAAATTACTAAAAATACTAAATTTATTTTATTTTTGTTAATTCAGTCATAAACTTTTTAATCGTGCTAATTGAGTCCTAAACATATTCATGTTTTGCCAATTCAGACCATCTGGCCAATTTTGGCTAAAAATCGCGGACATGGACGCCGATCATCCTACGTGGCACAACCGACGCTGATATAGACAAATTTTAATAATATTTTAAATTTGGTATTAATTTTTATCTTTTCTTCTCATTTCCTTTTTCCTTTTTCCTTTTTTTTCTTCTTTTTCCTTTTCTCTTCTTTTCTGTTTTTTTCTTCTTTCTTTTTTCTTCCACCGGCCTCAGGCGAGGGACTCCCGAGCCTGGGCTGGGCGAAGGCCGCCCTCGCCGGCCCCTTATGAGGACGACCCTCGCCCGTTCCAACAAGGGCGTCCCTCGCCTGAGGCTGGCCTTCGATGAGGCTCGAGATGGCCGGCGGAGAGAAAAAGGGAAAAAGAAAAGAAGAGAAAAGGAAAAAAAAATGAAGAAGAAAAAGAGAAGAAAACAAAAAGGAAAAAAATCAATAAAAATATTCAAAAAATATTAAAATATCATTAAAAATAATAATTGTGAACGCCGGCCATGCCACGTGGACGCTTGGTGTCCATTTCAGCGACTTCCGGCCAAAATTGATCGGATGGACTAATTAACAAAACGTGAAAGGATTTAGTACTCAATCGATACAATTAAAAGATTTATAAGTAAATTGGCAAAAGTGCAATAAGTTTAGGACTTTTTGAATAATATTTTCAATTTTTTTTCAATTAAATAGAATTGATACTCGTGTTGTTTGTCACAATGTAAAATCATAATGCCAATAAATCGAATTTGACCGAAGAAATAAGCGAGAGATAAAAACCACAAAGATACGATGATGGCATAGGGAAAAAGAACTATTCTAATCCAAAGTTTTTGTTTATCTGTAGAGCCCCCAACTCTAACATTAATCTAGCTTAACTAGGAGAAAATCTTGAATGCCTAGAACTAACATCATCCTTGAAGGTTCCGTGAATCCTACCACGAGCGATTCTTCCAAAGAATTGCAACTAACATGTATACTTCAACCATTCTATCCCATCCCTCTCTTTTTTCTTTATCAAGAAGACAAAGAAGAGAAAAAAACAAAGAAAGAAAGAGCCAGTTACGTGAAGAGGGGGAGTTAAGATTTGATTTAGCCGCACAGCAAACGTCGGGTCCGAGGGATGAGACGTCGGGATATGAACAGAGACTGCAAACTTTAAAGCTTACCACAAAAGGGAAGGAGCTTCCCTGCGATCAGGCATGGGAGCCCCGAAGAAAGAGACCAGAAATGGGAATTCTAAACCTAGTACACGCAATCGAATCGAATCCCATCCCATCGAGTGGACTCCCCGTGAAATTAGGGGGAAAGGTCAGATCACACCGCTGCCCTCATATTCTTTCTCGTGTCTCCATTGCTTTATTTGGAAAAATGCTTGTGGAGAAAGCAAGAGTTCCCAGGCTAAAAATGTGTATGTTTAATGGACCTAAAAGCTACCATTACTGGGGCTGTTCGTATTTTGCCTTTTTTGGGGCGAGTTTCATTGTCTTTTGGCGTTTGCGGGGCGAGGCTCTGGTTCAGAACAGGCCCATCTTTCTGGGTAAAATTTGGTTGCCATCCAGATTCTACGGGTGCTCCGGTACCGTCACGCTGTCGTTCACCTCATCGATCTCGAAACACCATGTACCTACCGTTCGATGACTTAGTCCCGTGATGATCAAGTGAGATCCGGATGTTATTATGTTTTGTAATGACTCTGCTTCGTGTGGATCGGATACGAGTTTATATAAAGTTCACCGAAAGAAGCCGTTGTGCCGTGCGAGTCTGCGTGTTATATGGCTTGCTGTCCGTTTCTTCGCTAATAACCTGTTAGATGTCTGGACAAGTCTATCGGTCTATCATGGTCGCACCGAGTTTTGTTTAATCACCCATTTAGTTAAATCCCATCTAACACACTCTGCAAAAACTTAATCTTCGCAGAGTTTCGCAATCATGATATTCCCGGCATTGCTCCATCAGATACACATGATAAACATGTTGCTTGAGTACCGAGTAGAAATGCATAAAACCGATTAATCAAAGTTTATGAAACATGTTTTCTTTTAAACCTTAGTGCAGCATTCACATGTTTTCTAAGCAGTGAATAACTCCTGCTTTTTCTTATTACGTGCTTGTGTTCGTGTGTATGAAAGTGAAACGATTACCTCCTTTGCATTGGTTCATTATATCGAATTTTATACAGTGTTTTGTGTTGCCCCGCTAATCTTATGGAACTGATCAAACCAAATAGCTCATTCAAATGGAGAAAACAACTCCACAGATGAATTATGCTAGGAATAAGAAGAAAATGTACTAAAACCTTGTTTACCGTAGTTGGTATTAGAGCATAATGCACTTGTAAGATACGTCTCCACCTACAAATGAAAGAACTATTTTTCTTCAACCTTGAAATTTTATCGAAAATAACATATATTCTCATGTCCAATTCTAATCTCTAGTATCAAGAAAATAGGCAAGATTTGAGTTTAAATCTCCCCCATCCTACAATTTTTGGAAATCTCTTATTCGTTTCCTAAAATGATCATATCTTCAGATGTTTCCTGTTCAGTTATATTCTTAACCTTTATTTTTGTCTTTTTAATATGCATACATGCATGAACTCCTTTTCAAAAAATTCATTTAATGGATATTATTTTAGTATTTTAGCATTCATCGGTTAATGGAGACAAGGCTCCATCGGACTCTATATTAAGAGGCTAAACTCTCTCATATCTCCACTCGCAAACCGCGCACTCTCTCTCTCTCTCGCTCTGGCCTGTTCCTTGATCTTCCACTTTGTTGTTTTGGGGATCCCTTCAAGCTTTTCCACCGTGCTATTTTCCACTTGGGTGTGCCTGATCTCTTCCTTTTCCTTAGTGGTTGACATGGGATTTTTATACTAAGAAAACACACAGTAGCTCTCCCTCCCTCCCTCCCTCCCTCTCTCTCTCTCTCTCTCTATCTCGACAAGGGTTTCGGACCTTTTTCTTAATGCCCTTTGATTTCTTCGCTTTACCTTATCCTTTATCTCCATGGGATGCTAAAAGTTGGGTAAGTATAGATTCTAGGGTTAGGGTTTTTATCTCACCTGCATGTGGATTGGTGATGACAAATTGCCCCTATACGAAGAAGCCCAAGTCGTTGTTTGCCATTGCAGCATCATGAAGATTCACAAAAAAAACTTTCTTTTTTGAAGAGAGCGTCTTTTTTAATAATTACTGGTGGTTGAGTTTATGTGGTCCCTAATTCCACCTTAAAAGCGTCTCTCTTCAATATGATTTTATTATGGGAATCTTGATGATGCTGCAGTGGCAATAAATGGCTATTCACTCTCGAAAGCCAGAAGTCTGAGATCAAATTTATGAGGATGAAGGTAATTATGTTTTGTCAGTTAATCAAAAGCAAATCCTAATTTTTCAAGAACTCTCCAAAAAGAATAGGAATTTAAAAGATTGATGCTTGCTGTCTTTGTTGGTGGGTTTTGAGGATCTTTGTTCTGTTAACCCAACATGGAACAGAGTTTTGGTTCTAGAAAAGGAGATGACTTTACCTTGGTATATATTGTGTTAACTATCAGCATATGTTTCTGCTTTTTCGGTGATGTTAGTATTAGTAAGGATGGGACTGAGTGATGCTTCTGAATTTTTTTCCCGTACGGGAACGCACCTGATCTTTCACTAGCTATGTCTGTACTTCTGTACAAGAGTAGAACTTGGGTAACTCATGAGCATGATGTGATTGAAAGCTGTTTCTGCCTCATGTATATTGTTATTATACTGTGTCATTGTGGGTATGTTTTTTGAAGGAGTTTTTTTTGTGAGTCTCATTTACCCATATACTGTCTTCGTTTGGTTCCATAAGATTAGCCAGTTTGCTGGAGTAGTCATTAGATAGTAATATGCGTTGGGCCAAGATGTATAATACACACTTTAACTGGTGTTGAGAGTTGCTGACTTGCTTTTATGAGATATATATCATTTGCACCTTATTACGTATTCTCTGGAATAATCTGTGGTTTCTATATGGTTTACCTTGGCATGTCTTTTTTCTCTGGTTCACCTCATATCAGCTTTATTTAGGTATTAGCATCACTAAATGGTATCTTTCTCAAGAGCGGAGCCCAAGCCGCCGAGTTATTTTTCTTATGTCACCGGACTAACCTCACTGCTCGTGCTGATTGGTCACATCTTAACACAGAACGACAACATTTGGCCAAGAAGAGGTACAACGACAGATTTCAGGGAAGTTTTGATTTTGAACACCTGAAAAATGCCTATCCTCCTTTACATACTTATATAGTGGAAGGATGGTTCCTCTAAATTTATTGAGAGGATCATTACCCTAAGCTAGGAATCCATCTAGTGCTCTGTCTTCCTCGGTATGATGGGATCTGCAAGATGCACAAGTCAAATATAGGAAAGGACTACATGATTCCATCAGAGCAGTTCTTCTTTCCCAAATTTCCCCGTCTTTAGAAATCTGAGTATCTGGGTTTGTAGTGGTTCTATGGAGGATTGGATATCTGGCCTTGATTTCTACAAAGTGGATCTTTTTCATTCACATCTCCATAATCAATCCTTGAAGACCCCTTTCGTGACTTTTTTTTGCTGATTTCCTTTTGATCTGACCCCCTTATATACAGTGAGGCTAGGTTGTCAATACTTACTAATCTGTGACTATGAGGGGGAACAAAAGAGCAATCTGTCTTGTATAAAGAAAACTTACGTTAGAATCTATACAGAAAGACTTTTGTAGCAAGTTCGCAATTATTTGACACGCGAGACGTATTATTAATGGCTTGGAATCACCTCTTCCTTCATTTGGAGAGGGTGTGGGCGCTTGCACTCTTGCTCAGAATATCCACAGATATTGCCACTTCATCTGTCCCGACAATTATCCGCAGAGACTTGTCTAAGTCGCATAGTCTACCTTGTCCATTTGGAACCTCATCAAGATTCGCAAATGGAGGAGCATCCAATTTTAGGAAGGTCCCATGCCACCTACCGAGACCGGTGTAGTTATTCAGCGGCACCTATTAACATGACTACTCGTACAATGTAAAAGTTGTTGCATACCTTACAACCATGGAGTAACTTACAAATAGGCACATAACCAACTATGCAAAATGTTCATATCTTTTCTAGGGCTTTCCCAGGAGGTGGTGGTGGTGGTGGTGGTGATGATGGCTCTTGTGGTCCGGCCTTCGATTATAACGCGACAATTCCGTTGCAGGAGGCTACTCCAATTAACATTAATTAAGAAAACCTGAAAAGGAGCGGATTTTCTGGAAGAATATTGATACCCATTAGCCATCTGCACAGAATTATTCTCTCCCTTTTACCAGCTTCAAGTTTCAACAAATGCCCTCCTAATTAAAATGCAATTCTCTTCCTCTCCCTCCCCCTCTCCAAAAACACGTGGCTAGGGTTTCTGTGTGGAATCCGTTTGGCTCTCTCTTCTGTAGATGGGTACGTTATCTACAGTTCTTTCAAGCGGGAAGTCTGCGTTATGTATAGTATGATAGAGTCTGCAACAGTGAGGGAAGATGATTGGATTCTCTAAATCTGAGGGTGGCAGAGGCTTCATGCCGTACTGGTGAAACCCACCTGGATCATCAGTGTATGTCTGTACTTGGGTTAAAATATGTGTACCTTCAGAATATTATGACTGATATGAGAGAGAGAGAGAGACTGTGTGTGGGGCTTTTTTACTTCGCGGGGTTTTTCACATTACTCTTTTCTTTGCATTTTTCACTCCAAACATTTATGAAATATCGTTTTGCAGAGTTTTTTCTTTCCCTTCAGCTACCTTTGCTTTTGCTGTTCTTGGGTGTTCGTACGTGTATTCATAATCCTTAGTTGAGCTTTGGGTATCAGCAGAGCTCTTTTTCAGGTATAAGCTTGTTTTGCTGCTAATGTTAATTACTCAGATGAAAGTTCCAAGTTGATGAATAAAATCTTCAGCAACTAGTGTCGATCAATGTTAAAAGGAAGACATAAATATGATAAGTATCTACATTCTTAGATATAATTTCTACCCCCGACCAAAAAAAAAAAGATATAATTTCTACCATACATAGAGAACTAGGATTTTACTCAAGGCAGGTTGTGGGGGATACTAAACAGTAGACACATATGGATTCATGCTTTCTCTTTTTGCAAAAAGATGGAATCAAGAATTGTTCATGGCATCACATGATGGAAAAATTCATCAGGCAATATGTTCTTTTTCTGACAACAAGGTGTATGTGGGACGGGAGTACAATCATAAATAATTGAAATAGTCCGGCGCATAAAGACCAACACGCGCAATGTTTGATTTAACAGGTTTTACTCTTCTACAATAAACTGGATTTTTGTACACTCTCGTTGCTCATGTACATACTCGCCGTCTTGCATCAACATTGCCCTTGCTCTCTCAATTGGCAAGTTTACATCATACTCAACAATTCCGTCTAACAATCTTTCTCGAGCAAAGTTTAGTTTCGCAAAACACGTCGGCTTCGTCTAATTTAAATAATCTCTAGAAGAAAAGACGATGCGTTTCGCAGAAACCTGAAGCTATAAGTTGGTAAATAAGTGTGTGATTACACATTTTTCGTTTTGGTAGAGCATGATTTAACATCGATTTAACATTCAGGCTTACCTTCTTTCTGTTGATTTGTGTCTCCCGATTCTAGTTGAGATTGCAGGTGAAAATTTTGAACTATTGGGTCACCAAAATGATCAGCTTTTCTATCATATATATCATCACAAGGAATAGGAGTTTACACATGGTTTTATCCTATGTTTGTGCTCCTTTGATTAACGAGTTCTTTGGACCGAACAACAACAGCTGGAGAGATCGTGGGCTTTTGATAGTGCCACTGGACCGAGTGCTTCCATATAGGGAATGGGAGATAATTAGGGTTAAGTCCGGCTTTAGTTTCCTGAGTTCCAGAGCCTTGTGCGATTTTATCCTCTAGCTTTTATTTTTGCGTAGTCCTCTGTGACGTTAGCATCGTGTGCGGTATTAAATAGGCCACGTCATCAATTGATTTGACGGTTTAGAGGGGAAAATTGTCCAAAAGTCCTAAACCTATTTCACTTTGGCAAATTCAATCTTAAACCTTTCAATTTTGCCAACTGATAACTAAAAACTTTCACGTTTTGTCAATTGAGTCCATCCGGCCAATTTTAACAGGAAACTACGTGGACGCTGGTAATACCATGTAAGATGGTTGGTGCTGACGTAAATAATTTTTTATAATTTTTTTAAAATTAAAATTTTAAATTATTTTCTTTTCTTTTTTCTTTTTCTTTCTTTCTTTTCCCCTTTTCTCCTACCAAGTCCGGCGAGGGTCGCCGGCCGACCCTCTCCAACCACAAGTGAGGGTCAACGACCCTCGTGGCCACTAGGCCAAGGGCCATGAAGCCCTCGTTAGTCATGGGCGAGGGTCACGACTTTTGCCTAGTGGCCGGCCAACCCTCCCATGACCGGCGAGGGTTGGCCTGCCACCCTCGCCGGGCTTGGAAGAAAAAAAAAAGGAAATAAAAAATAAAAAAATCAGAAATTCTTTTATAAAAAAAAAATAATAAGTGTATACGTTAGCGCCGGCCATACCGCGTAGGACAGCCAACATTTACGTCAGCGATTTCCTTATAAAATTGGCAAGATGAATTCTTTTTTTTTTTTTGGTCAGAAGATGAATTCAATTAGCAAAATGTGAAAAGGTTTAGGATTCGATTGACAAAACAGAAATGTTTATGACTGAATTGACCAAAGTGCAATAGGTTTATGACTTTTTGGACAATTTTCCCCGGTTTAGTGAGAGCAGCCGTGAAAGTATTTGGCTGCACAAATTGAAAAAAGTTAGAGGATTTGACTGCCGAAAATAAAATATAGAGGAACCAAATAGCACAGGTCAAAAAAAGGATAATGACACAAACAGTCCTTAAATTTCGGCCAAATGTACAATATGATCCCTGAACTTTTACCTAATGTTTAATGTGGTCCCTGAACTTTTAATTTATTCGATGTGATCCTTGATCTTTTGGTACATGTTCAATTTAGTCACTGAACTATATGAAAATATTCAATATAGATCACATTGCATATTGGGTTAAAGTTCGACCACATTGAGCGAATTACAATTTCAAGGACCATATTGCACATTATGCCAACGATTTGTGTCATTTTCCCATCCAAAAACTAAGAGGACTTGCTCGAATAAAGCAGAAGATAGAGGACCGTTGCCCAGATGCTAAAACCTAGAGCAGGAATAAAAATCCGTACTGGGCCCAAAAATAATTGGAGGGAAAAAAAAAAGAGAGGAAAGCGATACAAAACGGGCCTTGGCGCTCATTCAATCTTTTGCCATCAAGTCGGAATTTTTATGCACGATCTTATCTATTTTGATCGTGTGTTCGGGGTCACGAGCTCGTTTCACGTGAAGAAGAGAGACCTTGGACAAAATTATTTTGGACTAAGCTTTCATAATATATCACCTGTAATAACTTCCTTGAGATTGGCGACGAGAAAATGAAATCAAAAAATACCAACTATATTGATTTGATTCGCCTATGAAAAAAGGTGAAAGAAAAAGAACATTACATAGGCATGAGCAAAATAGTCGATGGCTGCAGGCACACGTGGAGAGAGAGAGAGATTATGATAAATCTGTCACAGGTGTACAAGTACGGGGTTTTTTATGGTAAAAAAAATTAGTTTAGGGTAAATTTGTCACGGATGTATCAATTTGTGATTTTTTGTAATATTAACCAAAAAAAGAAAGAAACCCACGAGACGAGAGAATTACTTTTCTTCCGAAACTTCAATATTAAATCACGAATTCATCTGATAATTTGTTTTTTTAATTTCAAAACGATCGGCGACGGTTTGCGAATAAGTTCCGAAAGAATCAAAATGAGAATCGAGATCCGATTTGGGAATGCTGTGAGTATAATTAAATTAGGATGGGTCGGTGCAAAATTGGGTTGGGGGGGTGGGGCTGCTCGTTTTGTGCATGTTAGACAAGTGTGCCGATTGCTTTGGCTAGCGGGAATTGCGAACACGTGAAAGAGTGTGAGCACTGAGCAAAGCTTTCTTGATATTAGCCGAAAACATACTTGGATTGGACGACACGCTTCCGACGCCAGAGATGTTCATCTTTTGGATCGATGATAGAACGTGTGCGCGAGCGCAATCGATTGTCATCCATTCCCGTGCCAAGAACGACAACGTGAGTTTGATTACATCCACACGTTACTTCAAATCTCAAATCGAGGTGTACATGCCTCGATAAGTTAGTTTTGGAGGGTCCGCCAAATATCAAAAGAGATCCCAAATTCGAGCCCGCCATACATGTGTTTGTGAAATCTCAACGTTATACTCGAGAGTACGAGCAATCACGAGCCAACCGGATACAATAACGGTAGGTTTGGGAAGAACTTTGAACGGCGGTTTCTGCACTTCGAGTTCGCTAAAATCGTTTCGAAACTATACACGACGCTTAGATCTAAGCCTTTTTCAAAATCCGAGGCCTAGAGTTGTCTTCGCTCGCATCCCAATACCGCTTTGCAAAGTTTTTTTCCAAACTCGCCCTCACTGCTCCGTACCGCATCGGGATAACTTCTCTAATGCGAGGCTTCATTTCCCGTGATATCCTCACACTTGCATCTCGATATAGAGAGATAGGCTATGCACAATTCAACGATTGGATTGAATGCGACACATGAAGCCCGAAGTCATACCTGAATCAGGACAGGAAACGTTGCGCC